TCATTGCAACTGTCTAGGTACCTGATGGCTGACCTTTTGATGTCAGAGACTGAAAAGTCTATCCTTAGGTTATAATAATACTGTGGCTTTCTCCCCTCCCCTCTCCTCTCCTCTCCTCTCCTCACCCCCCTTTCTTTTCCTTCCCTCTCTTTCCTTTTTGCTCTGAATTCCACTATCTCCACTTCCCAAGGACTAGAATCGTTGATGTGCCGTCATGTTGGACTCTTTTCCAGTTGGGCAGCTCATGACAAACCACAAAGCTCCATTACAGCATCACAGAGCACGGACTGATACCCTCTGGACCTAACCCATCCATTAGGTTGACATGCTGCTGTGCTCCGTCATAGCCTAAGCTCTGCCATGAGTCTCCCTTCTAAATTTTCTACAGCCTCCCAACAGCGCCACCCTCTGGACACCAGCTGTCAACACGTGAGCCTTTGAGGTGCAGTCCAGATCCCCACTATTTTCCTTGGAGGACTGGAGGAGAAGTGAAACCCTAAAAGGGGCAGAGAGTGGACCTAGAACTGGGGAGAAGAGAAATGTGCTAGGTCCCCTCTGAAGTCAGCTCAGCTGTGGGGTAAAGTGAGAAAGCCTCCAGTTCCTCCAGCTCTCCACACTGTCCCAGCATTTTCTCCACTCTCTATGTCTCCCCCAAACTGTTCTACTGTCCCCTTTCTCAGGTCTTCTGCCTGAAGCCCTGGTCTGTGGAGAAACACCGTGTGTCTTCTGAGCTGTCAGCACTCTGTATTTGCCTTCCTTCCCGCTCCGCCACCTCTAAATGATATGCCTTGGCTTCCCTCCTATTGAACTTTGTCCTCGTGGTGGTGGAGTCCTTTTTCCAACTGCCAATAGCAAAGATAAAAAGTGAGCACAGAGGTGAACCTGCACCGATCGCACAAGCTGCAAGCCAACCGTCATCTTCGTAACATTACCTCGCGGGGAATGCAACTTGATAGAAGAGAGAATTTGGTTGGCTTTTCAGAGTCTTCACCCTCAGTTGAACCAGTTGAACTTGGACTAGGTATCCGCACTGTAATCAACCAAAGGACAGGATTAGAGCCAGCAACAAAAGGATTCCGGCTAGCACGTTCCTTCTACATTTGAAGCATAGAGAAAAAAACTAGGTCTGACTTCTCTATACTTAAAACTTACTCTATTTTCTTCTTCACAGAATTCACCAAGGTGTTTCCCTCTGCCTTTCCTTTCCCTTCTGGGATGCTCAGTTTCTATTTCCCAGTCATGTTTTGCCATCAAATTGACTCTTTCTTTCTTAGAGTCATGTCATTATAGAAACCACAGAAACCCACATAAATTCAATGCGATGGCCCACAAGGCGTCCATAGCATGGGTGGGTTGCAGAGAAAGTAGATTGTGCAATAAAGAATTTTAAACCTTTGTCCTCAGCTCCTGGGAGGCCTTCTCTAAACTCTTAGGATGACCTTCTTATCTTCTGATAAGAGTGCTGTTTGCTAAAAGGACTTGGGTAATGCCAGATAGTTTAACTTACTGTGGGAGATTTGACCCCTGAAGTGATTACAGAATGAGGTTGGTATCCGAGGAGCCAGCCATTCTTACAAGACTTATGCAACCTGAGACACTAATACTCTGAGACACCCCTTGTCTTTTTTTTAATTGATATTTATTAAGCTGTACATTTTTCTCTGCTCCTCTTCCTGCCTCTCCCCTCTCCCCTTCAACCTTCCCTCAAGGTCCCCATGCTCCCAATTTACTCAGGAGATCTTGTCTTTTTCTACTTCCTACTTCCCGTGTAGATTAGATCTATGTAAGTCTCTCTTAGTGTCCTCATTGTTGTCTAAGTTCTCTGGGATTGTGGTCTGTAGACTGGTTTTCTTTGCTTTATGTTTAAAAACCACCTATGAGTGAGTACATGTGATAATTGTCTTTCTGTGTCTGGGTTACATCATTCAAGATAATGTTTTCTAGCTCCATCCATTTTCCTGCAAAATTCAAGATGTCATTATTTTTTTCGGCGGTGTAGTATTCCATTGTGTAAATGCACCACATTTTCCTTATCCATTCTTCAGTTGAGGGGCATTTAGGTTGTTTCCCATCCCTTGTCCTTTGATGCATCGTACTGTCACACATTATTTCAAAAACCATTTAATATCGTCCAAGACCGTCAAATGGTATTGCTGTGGAAACTCCTTCAGCCAATAGCTTTTAAGATACGGGCCCACTTTGGGCATGGTTTCATGTGCTGTCTCAGGCCCCCTCCAAGAAAGACTTCAACATCCATAAATCATCAGGAAGCAGCCCTGAGAGTCTGCTGTCCCAATTCCTTCAACCTGCTATGCCTAACTCCCACCTTTTCATTATAAGAAAAAGATGGAAATGCAATCTGCTGGCCTCATCTGTCACCTGGGTACTCTGTCCCTTTAAGAGACAAGCCCCACCCACTCCCCAACCTCCCTTTTCCCACCAAGGCAAGTGGATCTCCTACTCTCTCTCTCCCCCTTTCTCTCTCTGTCTCTCTCTGTCTCTCTGTCTGCTCTTCTTCTGGAGAGGCAGCTTCTGCCTCTCTCTCTTCTCCCTCCTTCTCCCCTTCCTCTTCTCTTCCCTCTACATAACCCATCAAATAAATTCTATACTCCAGCTCTCTCTGCATGGTGTATCTGTCTGTCTCCTGCCGAGGCCTCAGGTCACCTGCCAGAGGACCCGCCAAGGCCATTAGGGACCAGTCCCTGACCACCTCTTTATAAGTGATAACACTGCAGATCGCTGCTACCCTTTCGGTGAGTTTACCCCTAGATAAATAAACCTTTATTATACTCCATTCTGAGCTAGTGTGGTATGCCTACAAAGGGCACCATCATGGGTAGCTACATCCACATAAAAACTGAGAGAGCTTGGGAAGGAATTCTAAAAGAACAGAGTTAAGCGCAGCTTCTTGGTAGCCACATTTTTTTTTTTTTCAAATAGGCTCTGTTTGTTGACAGTGAGCAGAGGTGCGGCTCTTCTAAGAGAAAGCTTCTTGACTCAGCATTAGCAGAAAAAACTGTGTGGCTTCTTTGAAAAATGGTGGCTTCCTGGTTCGTGCTGGTAAAACAAACTCTGGCTCTTTCAGGAGTTCCTGCACTTAAATGGGGTTTGTGAGCAGAGTGCTACAAGTCGCTTCATGGTAGCAATACAGACCCGCTGTGTCCCTGGAGCTGCAGTGGTTAACACAGCTCTCAGAGCTGCGATAAACATACATCTGCCATATTGAAAGGCTGAGAGAGACAGAGCCAGCATCCAGGGATGCTGTAACCACACTGCTTACCATTTTAAAAAATGCTTCTGATCAGAAAGGATTTCAGATACACAATAGGACAGATTCAGACATAAAAGACCTCTTAACGAGAAAGTCTGTTTACAAAATGTATGTAGGCTTGAAAGAAAGGGAAAAGAGTATAGACAGTTATAAGTAATATAAAAAAAGTACAGATAGACATAGATTAAGGGAGAAAGATAATAAATATTAAAAGGTAATAGAGAAAAAAAGCCACGTAAAGATGGAAAATACACAGTCAGGATTATGTATACTACTGTGCTTTCTTTGAAATTTTTGACTGTGAATGAGCTAACTTGTTGAGAACTGGCCTTGGCAACATCACCTCTTACCAGGGTAGAAGCATGGAAATATTAGAAATATAAGTAAAGAATATAAAGACACATAAAGATGAGACAGAAACTATAGAATAATATCAGGAGGGTATTTTATACCCAATGTAAATGGGGGGATGGGGAGAGAAGGTAACAGAAGACTTTATTAACATGATACAAAGAATAACTCACACAGTCAATTGCTTTATCACTCTGAGACTTCAAATCATTAGCATTCTGATGTCTAGGTAGCAAAGCTGTTCTAGATCATATATCCTTAAGGCTGCCCTTTCCCAGTACCCTCATAGTTACTAAAGAAGGAGCAGAAGTACATTTGAACAGCCTGACCACCTGTCAGGATGGCATGGACATACTTGAATGAGCTATTTTAGTCTTAAAGAACCAACCAATCACATTCTGAGTTGGGACATTTTGAGTTGTTGATCATTTGAGAAACCTCCAGACTCTCTGACTGGCAGACAAGGTGAAATCAGGCTTACATTTTTGGGCCTCCACACTAACTACAGAGAGACATTTCATTGTATGGGCTGCTAAATCAACATATATTTTTTAAAAGTATCTTGACTTCAAAATTTGAGTCTAAGGATATGTTATTTAGAAAAGAGGTTCTGATTTTGTTTCCACAGAAGATGAGAATCTGTAGATTCCTTCCAGACTAATGTGGCTTGATGGAACAAGCCCCCCCCCCTAAGGTCTCTGTGAACCCTAAAAAATACTCTATCTAACAAAAGCAGGAGACAGTTTGGAGAAAACTACACCCAAGTTTCCCAAACTGATTGTTTATAAATGCTTATTTTAAGTTTAAAAGGATTGATTATAAGTGATTAATGGTTGAAGATCTCTTTCACACACACACTCATTCTCTTTCTCACAAACATGATGAATAGATCTCACACACAATACACACACACAGGTAGTGAACAGACCCCCCCCCCCCAATGAACAGGGATGACCTCACACACTGAACACATGACCGAGATGAGTGGAGAGGGAGCCAAGGGCATACGGGAAATCTCAGGAACTGGGTCACTCCCTGCTCAGTAGCTCCCTGCTCAGTAGCTCCTGTGACTGCCTGAGGACCCAGTGTTGCTGCCGAGGGGATGGATAGTGCTGCTGCTTTATTTTTGGGATGCCTGAGAGTTGAGAACAGCCGCATGGGTAGGGGACAGAGTTAACTAACCAAGAACCTCCTGTTTGCTTGAAAGGTTTCAGTTGGGGTTCGAGAGAGACACTGAGATGGCTTAAGAGTTTCTTAGAAGAGTGATTAATGGCATGGACAGACAGAAAAACAGTGTGGGAGAGGAGCAGGAAACCAGCCTCACTATAGACAGAATTTTAAAGTGGGGAGGGCAGTGGAGGTTGGGGGTGTGCTGCCTTTAAGCAGGTTGGGAAGTCTCCAAGACTCTCTCCAGGGCTCCTGAGCATCCAGTGTTTGAAGACCCAGCGAGCAGCTGTTTCAAAGCCGAGAAAAGCGCTAAGAGCAGTGACGTCATTGGCAAAGGCCACCCAGTCGGTCACGGAGCTGGATTCGGGCTCTGGGAACACACGTGAGCCCCACTTTCTTTAACCGCTGTCTTCTGGAAACAAAGTTTTGTTGGATTCCCTAGGACTATATGTAAATGTAAAACCAGCGGTTTGTCATAAGAAATCACATATTTTTATTGACAGCTGCCAGTAAAACTCAGATAACCCTCAAAGCATAAAAATGCCAAGACTGGCCCTCCAAAAACACCAGGAAAGCTAGCTTCGGGTCCTCAAACGTCACGGAACGAAGGCTTAGTGGAACGATGGCTTGGTGGCCAGCAGGTGGCGGTAAGGCTTCACCGTTGTCTTGGTGATGCGCGCGGAGTTGCTGGTTCCTTCGATCTGAACAACTCAGGCAAAAAGGAGACAGTCTGCTTCCCTCCTCCCTCCCACTCCAGCCTTCTTGTCCTGTGATCTCCAGGTGAGGAGCCTTCATATCTGCCTCGAAATGTGTGGTTTCCTTGACTTTTATATGTTTCAACACCAAAAAGATTTAGCTGTTGCTGGGTGTAGTGTCCCAGACTTTTAATCTCAGGAGACTGAGGCAGGCGGGTCTCTGAGTTCAAGGCTACAGAGTGAATTCTAAAACAGCCAGACTCTGGAGAGACACTGTCTCATTATATATATATATATATATATATATATCATGTGCATGTGTGTGTCTGTGTGTGTCTGTGTGTGTTTTTTTCCATGTGAGGGTTTCTTTACTGAAGGGTCACTGTACACTGAGCACTTGGCTGGGATTAACTCATTTAATCCTTACAATAAGAAAGAGAGGAGATAGAGGCAGGGGCATCTCTGTGAGTTAGAGGCTAGCCCTGTCTGTATAACAAGTTCTAGGCCAGCCAGAGCTACATAATGAGACCCTGTTTAAAAAAGAAAAGCCTGACAGGTTGGTCTTCTTTTGATAACAGAGAGGGGTCTGGGCCATCTGGATTCTGTTGTATTATTTCTTTCTTCAGTTACTGACCAGCAGATTCTTGGAATGTTAGTAATAGATAGCATTCAGGGTTTTTTTTTTTTCCAATCAGGAGCTTGTTATTGACAAAATATTTATGGGAAATGTAGTCTATTCTGGGTGTTTAATAAAATGTGCTAAAATAGCCGGGCGATGGTGGCGCACGTCTTTAATCCTAGCACTTGGGAGGCAGAGCCAGGCGGATCTCTGTGAGTTCGAGGCCAGCCTGGTCTACAAGAGCTAGTTCCAGGACAGGCACCAAAGGCTACAGAGAAACCCTGTCTCGATAAACAAAAAAACAAAAACAAACAAACAAAAAGTGCTAAAATACAACTGATTCAGATATACATTTGCTATTTTGATATATGCCTATTATACGCATGCATGAGTTTGTGTTTATTATGTGTGTATACGTATTATCCGAGTGGGAAGATTTAGCAAAGCAACAGGTACCAATTCTAACCCAGTCACCTGGTCCTACAGCCCCTGCAGGCTTTAAGGAAGGGATACTTCTCTTCCATAACACTGTGTGGTACGAAGGTTCCCAGGGGTGCTGGCGATGGAACTCAAGGTCTCATGCATGCTGACAAGGTCTCATGACTGCACCCACAGCCCTGCCGGGATGCTTTAAGTGCCGTAAGTGTCTTCCATATAAACTTTCTTTAGTACACTCTTAATTTCTGTTTAGCTCACAGACACATCATGTCTTAGGCTTTCCCTAACCCATGACCCCACTAGCCTAGTAATTCTATGTCAAATCAGAAATCTAATCTTTTTAAATTACTGTTTCGTACGTGTGTGCAGGGTGTTGTGAGCATCCCCTTTACCCTGTCTTGTCACCCCCTACTCTGGTAGGTCCCTGTCATCTTTCTACTGCTTTCATGTACAAGGGGCATTGCTGCTGTATGTTCAAGACTGCATTGTCAATGTCGCCACTAGAAGACAGTATTTCAGGACTCCTCCCATCCTCTGGGCCTCATGTCTTTCGGTGATGTTCTCTGGGGCTCAGACGGAGTCATACAGCAGTCCTCGTGAGGGCTGGGCACTCAACAGTCATTTGTGGGCATTTTAACCAGCAACAAGCTTTTTTATTGTGTCCACTATAAAAAAAAGAGAGACTTCCCTCGCCGGCAGATCGCTACTCTACCCTGGCTGCACTGGTTTCAGACGTCAAATCTCTGGGACTGTGTTCCAGCGGAAGCCGTGCTGACGGCCCGCGTCACCACTTTACTTGCAACGCTTGGGCCGTCAGTTTTATAAGATCCCGGGCTTTTTTCTCCATCATAATTCGGGTGTATAATTTCTGGAAGCTTCCATGTTTCTTCCTGGAAAATTAGCGCAAGCTGTGTTTAAGCCTTTAATTATGTCATATAGCACACACGTAAAAGTGTAAGGTAATAACTGTGAGCCAGACATCTCTGGAATTCTCCCACAGTTAATAGCAAGTGTTGAAGTCCGCGTGTGTCTCATCCTAAGATCAGCTCGCCTCTCCCGATGGGCAGGTGGTCCCCTGCCTTTCACTGCTGCCCTAGTCAGTTTTCCAGTCCCTGGTCATCTGACTCCATTACTTCTGAGGCTGAGGAGGGAAGGGAAGCACAAAGCTGCTTACCGCATGGCAGTCAGGAAGAAGGAGAGGGGGAAAAGCGGGGGAGGGAGCAAAGTGCATTTGGATATGTGCCTCACAAGCATCCCTCTGCTGGCGATCTTCCTCCAACAAGCCCAACCCTGCATTTTCCACCTGAGCTTGTGGGGGGGGGGGGGGGGGGGGTGTGGGTGTGTGTGTGTCTAAGAGCCAAGCCACCGCAGTGGTGTTTGCTCTGCTCCTTTTCTTCATAGTTGAGGTAATTTTGTGTCTAAACCCACGTCACATGGTTAGCTGAACTTTTAAACTCTAAGTGCTGTGTGTGACATGGGGACAAACGGCCTGACTCTGACCTTGGAGTGTGGCTTTCCTTCTCCACAATTTCTCAGCGATTAACAAGATGGATGCACGGTCATAGCTGTAAGATCTTACAGACAATTTTAGACCCAAACCTCCTAAATCTTTCATGTAGCATCATGAGATCTCATCTGTCTTAGTCAAAATGTTATGTTTTCAGGGAATGGAAAATTGAAAGTTTAAATGTGAGTCTTATTGGACTAGACCTGGAGTAGCAGCTGCTTCCCTTTCTTTCTTTCTTTCTTTCTTTCTTTCTTTCTTTCTTTCTTCTCCTTCTCCTTCTCCTCCTCCTCCTCCTCCTTCTTCTTTTTCTCCTCCTCCTTCTTCTTCAGTTTTTATTTTATTTTATTGAACTCTACATTTTTCTCTGCTCCTGTCCCTGCCTCTCCCCTCCCCTCTTTAATCCTCTCCTATGCTCCCAGTTTACTCAGGAGAGCTTGTATTTTTCTACTTCCCATGTAGATTAGTTTTATATATATGTCTCTCTTAGGGTCCTCATTGTTGTCTAGGTTCTCTGGGATTGTGATTTGTAGGCTGGTTTTCTTTGCTTTATGTTTAAAAACCACCTATGAGTGAGTACATATGATAATTGTCTTTCTGTGTCTGGGTTACCTCACTCAATATGTTTTCTAGCTCCATCCATTTGCCTGTAAATTTCAAGATGTCGTTATTTTTTTTCTGCCATGTAGTACTCCATTGTGTAAATGTACCACATTTTCCTTGTTCGTTCTTCGGTCAAGGGGCATTTAGGTTGTTTCCAGGTTCTGACTATGACAAACAATGCTACTATGAACATAGATGAGCACACGTCCTTGTGGCATGATTGAGCATATTTGGATATATACCCAAGAGGGACCTGAAGCTTCTTAAATCACCTATCAAGTCTAGACAAGTCTAGACTTAGAAAATAAAGTTATTAAATCATGTTCTGTGTAAATTATCATAAACAGATAAGGTGCTTATGAACCCCTGTTACACACAGGACAGACAAGGCCATGGTTCCATCTTTTTTTTTTTTTCTCTTTTCGAGACAGAGTTTCTCTGTGTATCCCTGGCTGTCCTGGAACTTGCTTTGTAGACCAGGCTGGCCACGAACTCAGAGGTCCGCCCTGCCTCTGCCTCCTGAGTGCTGGGATTAAAGGTGTATGCCACCACCACTGGCCATGTTTTCACTTCTGAGGTATGTCTTTGCACTTTTCAGAGGGTGTGCGCTTCTCAAATTGGAGCTGGATTGTGACCCCCTTGACCTCTCCTTTTTTTTTTAAAATATTTATTTATTATGTATACAATATTCTGTCTGTATGCCTGAAGGCCAGAAGAGGGCGCCAGACCTCTTTACAGGTGGTTGTGAGCCACCATGTGGTTGCTGGGAATTGAACTCAGGACCTTTGGAAGAGCAGGCAATGCTCTTAACCACTGAGCCATCTCTCCAGCCCCGACCTCTTCTTTTTTTTAAAAAAAAAATATTTATTTATTATGTATACAATATTCTGTCTGTGTGTATGCCTGCAGGCCAGAAGAGGGCACCAAACCCCATTACAGATGGTTGTGAACCACCATGTGGTTGCTGGGAATTGAACTCAGGACCTTTGGAAGAGCAGGCAATGCTCTTAACCTCTGAGCCATCTCTCCAGCCCCTCCCCTTGACCTCTTTTGCTCATCCTGCTCACCAGTGAATTGATGTCTTTTCCCTCCCTCCTTAAGGTTGTCTCTTTGTTTTGTTTGCTTGTTTGTTTATGGCAGAGTCTCCTGTGTCCAAGGTTGCCCTCAGATTTGCTATGTAGATGAGGATGACCCTGAATTTCTAATCCTCCCGTCTCCACAGTCCACTGCTGGGATTATAGGCACGCGTTACCACATCTTGTTTACGGAATCGCGAGGGTCAAATTTGGGATTTTCTGAGAGGTAGGGTTAGCACTCCATCAGCTGAGGAACATCCCAGCTCCACTGTCCTGGGGCCTTCGGCACTGCCCCACATGGCTGAGGTAGGCAGAAAAGAGGATAAGATACCAGCTTTAATGGAATATATTCCAGATGATTGAGTTGGTTGAGAGTTCTGGGTGGATGGAAATGGGGACTTTTCATGGCATTGTATGAAGTAGCCTTAAAAACCTTGAGACAGGATATCTGTAGCTAGGCTGGCCTTGAACTTCCTACATAGCTGAGGATGACCTTGAACTTCTGATCTTCCTAAATATTGGGATTATAGGTACATCACCAAGCCCACCTCATGCAGTGCCGGGGATTGAAGCCAGGGCTTCATTTGGGCTGGGTAAGCACTCTATCAGCTGATTTTCACCCCTACAGTACTGAGGAATTTAGAAAGTGGGATGAAGCTGGGTGGTGGTGGTGCATGCCTTTACCCCAGCACTCCGGAGGCAGGAGCAGGTGGATCTCTGTGAGTTCAAGGCCAACCTGGTCTACAAGAGCTAGTTCCAGGACAGCCAGAGCCACACAGAGAAACCTTGTCTCAAAAAAAAAAAAAAAAAAAAAAAAAAAGAAAGAAAGAAAGAAAGAAAGAAAGAAAGAAAAAGGGTTGACTGATATTCCTTTCTGTTGTTTCTTCCTGTGTGTGGTGTGTGTGTATGTTCATGTATGTGGGTACCATGCATGAGCATGTGGAAGTCTGACTTTGATGTCAGCTGCCCTCAGTGGCCAGCCCTCTTTATATGTTGCAGTAAGGAATCGAACCCAGGGCTTCCTGGTATGGCTAGCATGCTAGTGTGCTCTGTGGGGTCCCGTCTGTCTTCCAGCGCTGGTGTTGCTGTTGGGCCGTCAGTGTCTGAGGCCCAAACTCTGGTCGTCACACTCGTAGTTCAGGTACTTTAACCAGACGAGTCCAGCCCAGTCTCTTTCCTTTACTGGAAGGTAAGAAAAACTTGGTGTCTTCACCCTTTTTTAAATTCTCTACAACACCTGATGCAGCACCGTGTATGAGACAGAACCTCAGCAGTGGTCTGTGTGGAGAAGGGACTTTATTTTCTGCGTGCTGTCTGCAGCACGGCAGTGTCGGCCGCTGTAGCATACACAGGAAACGGTCTGACGATACCAGGGGTTAAAAGGCCTATTCTTACTCTCTGCTGGGCAGATGAAGCTGAGCGCCGGTTTGTCCCTGCAAGCTTCCGTCTTCAAAGCGGGGAAACCCCAGATCACCTACCTATCTATCGCAGTGGTTGCCAGGAGGACCGAGACGATGGGGAGCGGAGTGCGCGACTTGCACAAGCCTTTCCTGAGTCCTGTCTGTGGTCAGTCAGGACTGTGTGTTGACTTGCAGCACAACCGTGTCCCATGCCAGAAATGTGCTGCTTACCTTTCAACCCTTTAATGGGTAGGGAGGAACAATGGCCAGTGCCTGAGTTTTCTTTGGCGTATCCAGCTGACACGCTTGCCTGGTCATGGCACGCATCTGATACTTTCCCAGGTGGCTGCCAGTCACCATCAGAGGCGCTTTCTTGGCTCTGAGAGTCCGGGTTCCGTGGCCACTGAGAGGCAGTGGTTCCTTCCCAAGGTTACAACTTTGCTATGGCGTGCTTGACCTTAGGTTTGGTCTTCTTAGTGAGTTTGTTTAACAATTCGGTGCAGCGAAAATGAAAATCTCCACAAGAGAGAGCTGTTTCACAGGAGCCGCCTCATTCCAGAGCCGAGGTCGGGTGGGTTAGACAGGGAGAGGCGCTGTTACCTAATCCTGCAGAGAGGG